TGAGGATGGCGTTGGTGAGGATGGCGTTGGTGAGGACGGCGTTGGTGAGGACGGCGTTGGTGAGGATGGCGTTGGTGAGGATGGCGTTGGTGAGGATGGCGTTGGTGAGGATGGCGTTGGTGAGGATGGCGTTGGTGAGGATGGCGTTGGTGAGGATGGCGTTGGTGAGGATGGCGTTGGTGAGGACGGCGTTGGTGAGGATGGCGTTGGTGAGGACGGCGTTGGTGAGGATGGCGGCGGTGAGGATGGCGTTGGTGAGGATGGCGTTGGTGAGGATGGCGTTGGTGAGGATGGCGTTGGTGAGGATGGCGTTGGTGAGGATGGCGTTGGCGATTCTGCGACCATGAGCCGTGGGGCATTTTAACCGTGGGTTGTAGACAGTGACTACTTATGGACCTGAGTGACTAAGTACGTATGTAAAAACAAGGTTAGCAGCAGAATACGAGGCGGGGCCCGAGGGCCAGCCCTATGGCACTGATTGGGTCGGTAATCCATGGGTTACCCACCTTCTACCCCAGGTTGCCCATTGGTAACCCCCTCCGTTGCCCTGGTCCTACCCAGCAGGATGGGTAACACGGCCCCAGGGTAACCCCCTCCGTTGCCCTGGACTATGGACATGGGCATATAGGCTAGTCGTCTTATTTGGTTCCCACATCGCAAATTCCGCTTAAGGTTATTTTAAAATGTAAGCGGTAGCAGCCTACAGTATCGTGGTGTTTTGGGAAGCATATTTCGGGGTCAAACATCTGGATCTCCCGCTCAAGACCCTCGACGCTCTTGGGAGAGCCTGCTCAATTAAACGAGCAGACTATGGACGGTTGCACGTGACAGACGCCTTAAATATTTGTATGTATATGGCCACCCAACTTTGGGCGGTTTGGGGGCATTAGCAGTTCGAGAACACGTAAAGCGCGATAGGCGTGCTGGGCGGTGCGTTTTGTGAGGGCGATAGTCCAGCCAGTCTTAATACGTCCGCCATGGGTCTTGGTCATGCACTCTTTCCTGCATACCCTTTACCCGAAGTACAATCCTATGTGTCTATTTACGTCCCAGGTGGGAATGCCTTGGTTTGGTATAATCGTTTTACCGCCAGATGTTCAGCGCATTGTGACAGCATTGGCATACCTTCCCCCAATTGAAGACGTTGATGTTCATCCGTTAGTTCCTAATGCGTGGTGTTGGAATTTGCCTCTGTGGGGAAACCCTGTTCTTCCGGAAAAGAGGTTGAATGTGCCGTCGGATAACATCCGCCCAGGAATGGAGTTTCGACACCAAGCACTCCTGGGCTCTAAAGCATTGAATACGTTGGGGGATGTTCTTCGTGCGCACGAGGCTTTAGATGGATTTATGCATGCAACGGACCAGGCAGGCCTAGCAATACGCAAGGCTTGGGCACCAAATAGTGGACCAATACCTCCAACCGCGGACCCCACTAGCTAAATCCCTTTGCACCTTTCGTAAATGGCACAAATATATGATGTGTGAAACAGGGGGGTGTATCTTCGCCCGTGGCAGCTACCCTGCGAAACCCTGCCTTCCCCGGTATTTCGGGGCACCCTCATCCAGTCTCCCTAGTCAACTTCTCAGTGGATCGCTCAGGTTCCTCACCCACCACCAGCATTCGACGGAATCTGCCGGGTCGATAGCGGCCGAACTTCATTCCTGGTCGGTTCGCAAATTTGCTCTATCCCAGGTCACCACCGTCCATCAACTAGGGGCGCAATGCCTTCCACCATCGGAAAGACTTTTGACTCTAATGGGTATCGATCCCGAGATCCCCCAGGTGCAATGGTCGCGCCTTACCAGTAGTGCCAAACCCTATACATAGATGGAGTTGTCGCTCTCTTAGCTGATATCACGGCGCATTGGCAACAGGCGGCTAGTCTTTTGTTGCCTATGAGTGTAGAAACTAGGGAAGCGATGGTGCCCTCCACTGAGTCGGTTACCCAAACCCTGGTGTCGAGGCTTGGTTGGAGATGGGGTGTAGGGCCTCCAATCAGAATTCAAGATTTGTCCGTTACGTTAGCGACTAATATGCAACTTTCGCATTTTCTATGGCTCGCCGCGTAGCCCACACCCTCTTCATTAAAGAGGCGACGGGCTCTTCGGAGGTACTGGGTGAGGCTATTCTTACTTTGCAACGGACCTTCCATCGTTTATGGTCTCATTTACGATGGGAAAATGAACAGAAAGAGGTTTGGTGGCGTCTCACGGTTGATGGGGTGCCTATGTTTGGAAGTTCCCATCTCAGGATGTCGCGGCCAACAGTGTGTGGTTGTGGAGTATACTCGCGTAAGGTGTTTGGTTATTACCTTAGGGTGATTTTCCAGTGCGGATTAAGGCCAGGGATTAGGGCACGGAAGTCCTTGGTACGAGCTTACCACATAGTTTTGTTCCATAAGGGAACCAAAGGTTGAAAAGGCGAGGTAAGTTTGCCAACAACTTAGCCGTTTGCGCAAGTATCGATGGAGGACAGAGGGTTAATCCCTGGCCTTAATCCGCACTGGAAATACACCCTAAGGGTGTATTTTTTTTCACTGACTGACTGACTGACTGACTGACTGACTGACTGACTGACTGACTGCAGTGAACCTAGGGGCTCGGCCCCCCGAAAGGCGCTTCGCGCCCGGGGCCTCGCCCCAAAAGGTAGACAATGTTAAAATGCATAAGAAGAAAAGTCAGTAGTTGTTACAGAGTGGGAGGCTTCCGGGCCACTTGAACAAATTATCATGTCAAAAAAAGTCTATACAATTGAGAACCTATCTATCTATCTATCTACCTATCTATCTATCTACCTATCTATCTATCTATTATCTATCTATCTATTATCTATCTATCTATTATCTATCTATCTATTATCTATCTCCCTATCTCCCTATCTATCTATTAGGTCCTATCTGTTATCTGTTATACGATGATCGTGTCTATAGATCATCATACATTTTTTCACCGACAAAATAAATGTGGACGACCCCTATATAGACGACCCGCCTGATATATGTCTATAATTAATTTTCTATAGACCTACGAGTCATCTACATCGTAGCACGTCGTCTAACAGAGATGTCTCTATCAACGACCCGTCTATATAGATATCCTCCCCAAAAGATCGGCTATAGTTACATGATACGACAGAGCAGAGTCTCTAAGTTTGGTTCTGTGCGACTATCGTACAACCGTATTGGAATGGCGAGTATTACTTGCTTCAGCTCTTTTGTTACAGGCATTCTGCCTTTCACTCAGTAGAGCTTCAGCTTGCAGCTGACAGTTTGCTTAGTAATTTCGGACAGAGCATTGTGCTCGCTATTGAAGCCCTACCTGGTCATCACCTTTTCTTTCAAGCTCTTGTCTTTTTCATCCAAGGGAGATGTCGACATTGAATAAGGAGCCATCGCAGCAACAGCAAGGTACGGCTGCCCAAGATGGCGCCAATGTGGCGATCAACACTACCACTGGCCTCGCGAGGCCTCGCGATCGCGGGTCCCACGATCAGTGAGGCCAGCGGTATCACCTCCTCACCACCTCTCAACCGTCCTCCTCCACCGGCTGGCAGCCCCGCCGCGGGAGCAGCGTTGGTTAACACCGCAATCCAGCGGAATATAATCCAGCGGAGTATAATCCAGCGGAATATAATCCAGCGGAATATAATCCAGCGGAACATAATCCAGCGGAATATAACCCAGCGGAATATAATCCAGCGGAATATAACCCAGCGGAATATAATCCAGCGGAATATTACCCAGCGGAATATGATCCAGCGGAATATATATCACCCCACTCCAGCAACAAATTAGCCAGCTCCTGGCCTCCATGGCCAGAGTAATGACAGCTGGCCAAAATCCGGCAGCCAGCTTTTTGTCGCAGCCCAGGCAGGGGCGGCATCGGTCACACCCGACAAGGCGAAAAGAAGCAAGGACAAAAAGAAGAGGAAAGACGATAGCTCAAGTTCAAATTCGTCATCGAGCAGTGATGACAAGGCACCGGAGCGGTTGTGGTGCTTGGTGGACTGCATCGAGGCTCAACAGCCTACAGACCTGTCAGGTTTCCGCAAACAAGTCTTCCACGGTTTCGCCACGCAGGGAAAGCTGGCTTTAGCTTTGCTGGCGGAGGTTCTGCCGAACGTGAAGGGTGATATGAAAGTCCTCAAGCCTATGGTTCACCATGCGGAGGTTGGCATGGCGGTCACCAATGCCCTGGCGGCCGAGCCATGCATCGGTCTTGCGGCTGCGGACATTTGTTTCAGGATTCTATGCAATGAGGACAAGTTTCGGGACAAGACCAAGCCCCGAAAACTAGTAGATGGAGTCAAGGAGCAAGCGCTAAAGCGTGCTGCTGGCCGCTCGGGTGGGGGCACGGGTGGACACAGCACAGGCGGCGATGGAGCAGGTGGCTCTCGAGGAGGCGGAGTGCACGGCGGCTCTGGACACGACTACAAGAGGCGCGATGATGATGTTGGCCGTAATGCACGAGATGCAAAGCGGCGTCATTGAGTGTTGTACACAGGCCCATGTGCCATTGTCTCGGATGTCTTTCGTCTTTCAGTGAGCTGCATCCACGTGCGCCTTGGCTATCTGGTTGTGCGCCCACGTGCATGTTGGCCTTCTCTGGTGCACCCGTGTGCGCTTCGGCCCCATCACTGTGCGCCCGGGTGCACTTCGGCCATTACTGTGCGCCCACGTGCGCCTTGGCTACATCTCTGTGCGCCTGCATGCGTGTCACGACTTTTGTTGTCAAGCTGCTTATGGTTTGTTGTCAAGGACTTGGTATTCTTTGGGAGTTATTGATCACGCCCTCGTGCACTTTTCTTGGCCCGTGTTTCACGCCAGGGAGTATTGCAGTTGCTTCAAGGCCGGCACAGGCCTTTTTCTTCCGTTTAAGGGACTTTTCTACAGTCGTTTTCTGTTTTCTCCCTTTGGAAGGGGGATCATCTCTTGCTGGTGACACCGCTGACGGGGTTTTTATCGTTCCTGAAGAACGATAAGAGGGACAAACTTCTCTCCGCAATTCGCTTGTCACTCAGCGGGCAAAGAATCCCGGTGAAGGCCCTCGCTTCAATTAAAGGCCAAATTCTGATGTCTTGGGCCTTTGGACCCTGATCACATTTGTGAACCCGCACGCTGGGCAAACTCATCGAATCACGGACGATGTGGGGGTCCCACCTCCCCCTGTCCCAGCCATGAAGGAGGAGCTGGAATTCTGGCAGAAGTCTTTTGACAAATTCAACGGCTGCCGTCATTTATGGGTTCCCACCCAGGTGCATTCTCTGATCTTTTGCGACGTGGCCGGCAAGTCGGCAGCTTCCCTAGGCGGCTGGGGCACCTGGACAGCTCTGGATGGCAAACCAGTCGTGGCCCGAGGCAGCTGGCAGCCCAACGTTAGCGGGATGGGATCCACACCGCAGGAGCTCCACGCCATCCTTCTAGCGATGCAGTCCTTCAACCAACCAGCTGGCCTATCCGGCAGGGCAGTCAAGGTGCTGACGGACCACCTCAACACCGCTAACATCGTTCACAAAAGATGTTAACGATGTTGATTTGCTGGAATTTGCGTGCATGAGGAAATTTGCTGTTGATTTCTGCATCCCACATGGAAATCTTCATTTCCCGCTCGAAGGCAGACCAGCTAATGTGTGGCCACTGGGTAGTCATCGCATGCTCCGGGGGCCCATGCTGCCCAGTAGGTCTGACTGAGCACTTGCTGGAGCTAGGCGGCTACTGCAGACGGCCAGTAACAGCAGACGAAGACATGGGACCGTTCCTCCGACCAGTCCAATGGTCACAGCACGGCGGGTACCTCCCAGGTCGCCTGACCGGTACACGGGAAGCACCAGTGCACTCCTTGTCGTGTGTGGCTTTCCTCACATGACTGCTAAAAATGGTGGCCCTGGCAGGCATCACGGTGCACATCAAGGCGCACTCCATGCGCATAGGCGGGAACAGCACAGCAGTGGACCGTGGAGTGCTGGCGGAAATGCACAAGGCACACGGCCGTTGGTGCACAGACGCTATGGTACAACACTACACGTGGTGCGACACTGCAGCCAAACTTGAAGTCTCCCGCCGCCTAGGCCTCCCGGTGAGTGGGTATCTCTTCGGTGTGCAGTGTAAGGGCCCTTGGCAGCTGGTCTCCCCGCTTCCCGTCTCTACCTTTCCTTGCACGGTCAGCCAGCACGTTCGAGTCGACAGAGCCATGAGAATACGGTTAAGGGAGACAGGAGCACAGAATGCGCAGGAGAGTAGCTGCAAGGAGAGTACTGATTCACCGATCAGCAGTGGATGTCCGACACATGATACGCCCAGGATTCAACATTTGAATAACTCCTAATTGTATTATGACTCTCTCTCTCTTTCTCTCTCAGTTTCGCCATCAGCAGTGCGGGTGTGCTGGTGCGTGTGCAAATAGTACTTAGAACTGGCCATGGGGTAGGTGCGTGGTTATCCAATGGTACGTAGGCCCCTGCCTTACCCTAGCGTAATCTTACCTCGTCCTAGCTATACCTAATGGTAATTGGCACCTCAGAGAGGGCGATCCCCTTTGTCGTCTGGCTGCGGGTTCTACGGTCCTGGAGTAAACTTTCCTTTTTACCTTTTCCTCTTCTTCCTTTCCGGGGAGGTGTGTTCCATCCTCTGCTGACTTACTGAGGTATGTGCACATCCGACCCGGATGGCTCACCCATCCGTGTATGTAAGCGCCTACCTATCCATTAGATATGTAGCCAGCTACTTTGTCATGGTGACACATGTATGAACATACCATGTGTAGTACACACCTGCTTGAAGTTGTCGCCGAGTGAAGTATCGCAGGTTCATTCCGTCACCTGCAGCAGCAGCTGTCGCACTAGCCACGGTGCCGGCCATCCCGTTATGATTACCAGGCCGCTCGTCAGCACTGCATTGGTAGGAGGTTTAAGCAAGGGATCGTCAGAACAAGTGGCCAACCTGCGGAACCACAGCCATATGCCTGCTATCGTAACGCAGGCCCTGACAGATAGAATAACGGTCCAGGTCGCTGCAAGGCGTCGAGGAAATTGCTTTTGGCGAGGAAATTCGTCGGTAAGGTTTTTATCGTCACAGGGTCATCGTAAAATATGTAGGTCTGAAATAGAAGAAGCAGGTTGTCTATAGACGAAAAATATTATCTAGAGACGTTTGCTTTTGGCGGTGAAATTTGCTTGGTTTGCTTTGTATTTCATTTCGCAACCCCTACCAACTCAATAGGGCTGTCAGCAGTGCGTAACAGGCTGTTAAGGCCTGTTCGGTCCTGTTGTAGGCTGTTATTGGCGCTGTCAGAAGCCCCAATATCTGGCAGATAGCCATAAATCTCCATATTGACATTGTGTTATGCGTGTATCTTGCATGTACGTACCTGAGCTCTGCCTCTAAACGTTTTAGTTGCGCTGTAGAGCTTCTAAAATCTGAACGTGCAGCGAGAGCGCCGCCAAGGGCCAGCAGGTAAAGAATTATAATTGGAAAAGGCATTTTACTAATTAGGGAGGCTTGTAATTGCAAAACGAGAACTATCGGGCCGCTGTGTGTGAGTGTGTGCAGTTTCCAAATAGTGGTACAGCCAGTTAAAAGCCCTTGCAGCGTTAATATCTATATTTTCGTGAACATAACTTGCCAAACGTAATTCAGGTAGACCTGTCAAATTGATTAAGGCCACATATGCTTGCGTTGCCGTGTAGTTGTCCTGCCGCCGCCGCCTTGCTTGTTCAGTCGATGGCGAGCGACGTACAACGGGCAGTACTGGCTGCGCAGCCAGTCGTGACCTTCGGTTTGTCTCTTTTAACAAGTTGTGTTTCTATGCTATGAGCCGCGATGAGTATAATGCATATTTATGGTGGTATAGCAGCAGGAATAACTTTACCGAAGCGATCTCCGTACACTCGTGAAGTGACTCTATTTCGTAGTCCTGCGACACGTTAGAATTTACAAGAGAAAATGTGAATTTTCCAGTAGCCGGGCCGAAGTGCTATGCAACATGCGGGAGTGCTACTGTCTCGCATAAGTAACTTTGCTAAAGGCATGCCTGCTGAAAGCAGAGCGATACAGAAGATGATGTAAGCGCGTGACCAGTGGCTGCTGACATTTGGGATGCCGTGTGCAAAGAGTTTTGTAAAAACGACAGTTAGGAGCAAAGGCAGCCATCGAATGCTAGCTAGCGGTGAATCACCAATTGCGCTTACTGCTTGGAGAAATTAAACGTATCTGAGGTCCGTTGCGATGAAACGCATGGACTCATGCGGGCCCATTTACAAGAAAGGTCCTTAACTAGGCTTAACTAGGAAGCGCGAGGTCGTCGGTCTGGGAAACTACAGTCGCTGTAGTAGCATGTCTGCTGACGGTTGCATGTAGCAGCCTGTAGCAGCCGTTGCGAACCTTCAGGTACCGCACCTATTGTCTGCATATTACGTGTTATGGAAAGGGGTGATGTAGTAGCTGGCCGCTGAAAGGCTGTACCAGCTACTACAGGTGATACCACCATCAGACCACTCCGAGATGTCAAAGCCAACCGTCGCTAATTGTTCCAAATGGAAGCTTGTAAATATAAGTATTAATGTTTCGTGAGTGAATTGCGTACTTTGCGGAATTGAGTGTGTGCCATCTTTTGAATTGAATTGTTACAGAGCGGGAGGCTTCTGGGCCATTTAAACATGTCTGGGTCATTTCTACGATTTATCATACCATTCAGCACCATCCACCATTACCACACTGTACTACGCCTTCCGAACTGGAGTCCAAGGCAGTTGATCCTGCCTTCTAGGACCCCTCCT